TTATTGTGAAGAATCAGTTAGACGGGACTAGCACAAAGTCACATGCTGAACACCTAAGGCTAGCTAATATAGATGACTGGGAGATACCTGCGGGTGCTTCCACCCGTCCAATTAGAAAATCGCATTTTGTAGTACAACCAGAAGATAGTTCTGATTCAGAGGCAAGTTCAGATGATGCCGAGTTGCCATCCCTTGACAGAATAACTAAGAGATTCCGTCAGGAAAGGGATAATTCATCAGATGAGGATGATATTCCCTTAATGGAGTTATCCAAACGTTTAAGAGATAGGCACTCTAGACTAGAGTCACAAGAACAGGATAGCTCAAGTAACGATATGGAGCAAGATGCTAACCTAAATGACCTAGGAAGTGAAGATAGTTCAGATTATATGTCAGTTGATGAGGAAACTTAAAGCTATTATAGTTCGTATTTAACATTTCAAATTAATTGTGTTAAAAGAAAGAACTCTCTCGTACCAAAAGCGCTACGGCACGTGAGATTCAATCTCTTGCTCAATAACAGAATATTCAAGGTAGAACACAAAAGAAGTGTTATTAGATGGGATGATAAAAAAGGATAGGATAATTCTATAAATAGTTTGTTTTGTGTGGCAATTGTAATTCTAAATGTTTAGAAACAAGTAATGTATAAATTTTGTATAATTTATGAAGAACTGAACGCATCAAATGTTAATTCATGTGAGAATGAAAAAGGTCAGGTAAGCTAATCACTTTGCTGAGTTACGAAATGGTGTCGGCTAAAGCTGAGAATGGGAGGACATCTTTAGAGAAGTTTCCTCTACACCAACCATTCAGATCAACGACAATCTACGTCACTGATCAACGAGACTAAGAGTCAATTAAGTGTTGAAACCGTTGGAAGTTCAAGAGAGACATATTTTACTTTCGAAATTAATTGAAAGTAGTACGAACATTCCATCCGGACGTTAGAAGTGGAATTTTTATACGGAAGATAGTTCTTGAATTTCCTTTTTCTGACGGGAATTAGTAATACGTGACCGGAAGTAGTAAATTATACTATTCCAACAAGAGACTGCTATATGTGTTATGTACATATACACGTACGTGTACAACACTAGAGTACACACCATCGGGAATAGGTTTAATGATACGGAAGAGGATCCGGAAACCTATTTCTCCGACCAGAGTGAACACAAGAGACTATTGTGTCGTGTGTAAATAATGGAACATTGAGAACAAACATATGTGACACTTGTAATTATCGTTTCAATTGTACAGGCATTTCTCCGATGTTATTATTTTATGTATACAAAAATGCATGTCTTAGATTGGTTCTGTCAGACGTGATGTATCGTATATGACATGTTGATTATCAGTTATTTGGTGATAATTAGAAGTTGTTTTCTTTCTCAGAATAATGTATGATTTGTATATATGATATCTAAGAAATTGTTATACTGTTATGTTAATAAGAGTTGTTTGATTATTGTGTCTATTTGAATCTATGTGTGAATGCTCAAGACTAATTAGATGAGACATAGAACATTATAGGGAAAACTTACCTTGGGAAACAATCCAAATGTTAACTGTAAGTTTGTTTAATAACCTTGTTGCTCTCTATATGATGATGTGTATATATGACCGTAAGAAAAGTAGGTAATAGAAACTTAGGTGACGGGAATGAATTTAAACAAAAAATTGTTGGTAGAATGATAATTGTAACTTAAAAGAACTTTGATTACCCAATCAAATTTCTTATTGAAAAGGGGACGAATGTGACACTATGAGTTTACGCAATAGTTAACTTAATTAATTAATGTGATTAATTTATGTTAGATTCATCCTATCTTTGGGTTGTAAGTCGTGTGCTAGTCAGGGTCAGTAATGGGTCAAGTAGCAATAGCCTAAAGGGTACATGTAATACTTAGAGTAATTATAGTCACATAGGTATGTACCAATTGTTTATGATGACAGGTGTATAGGTATAAGGACAGATGATGGATGTAGGCAAGAATGTAACATATGTACTGGAAAACGTATTTAACAGTGTGCATCCCATATTCAGGGAGTCGGGCATCAGCCATGAGAGGGACAGGTCAATTTGGACCCAGGTTCAGACAGACAGAGTATGGGGTGTGTGGCCATGGTTTGGCACAGGCCTAGTTACTTAGCTCGAAGTCAGAGACACAACGTGAAGTATTACTATACGTAGAAGAGATGTTGTAACCACCTGTACATGTACTTGTAATGTGATTGTTGATGAACGTCTATGAATAAACACTACTATTATCAACTGTTACATGTGTTTACGGCTGCTGTGTTACAGCATCTTTAGGTAGTAGGGATTCAAAATTGTACAAATGGTGGGGCTGACCCCCCAGGGGCCTGAGGGGTGGGGCCAAAAGGGGGCAATTTGGCTATATTGAAATAAACGACTTCTTCTGTGGAACTATGCGATAGATATTTATGATATTTGATTGGAAGTATCACTAGGTAGTGGGAATTCAAAATTGTACAAATGGTGGGGCTGACCGCCGAGGGGGCTGACCGCCGAGGCGAGGCCAATAGGGGGCAATTTGGCTATATTGATATAACGACTTCTGTAGAACTATTTGATAGATATTTATGATATGTGATTGGAAGCATCACAAGGTAATGGGGATTAAAAATTGTACAAATGGTGGGGCTGACTCCCCAGGGGGCTGAGGGGTGGGCCAAAAAGTGGCAATTTGGCTATATTGATATGAACAACTTCTTCGTAGAACTTTGCACTAGATATTGATCATATTTGGTTGGAAGCATTTATGGGAGGCAGGGATTCAAAATTGTTTAAATTGTGATGCTTATGGGCTGGGCCAAAAAAGCGACTTCTTCTCTGGATCTGGAACCAAAAGATAGATATCAAACATATTTGACTGGAAGCATTCCTAGGTAGTGGGGATTTAAAATTATACAAATGGTTGGGCCACCCCCCAGGGGGCTGAGGGACGGGGCCATAAGGTGGCAATTTGGCTTTATTGCTATAAACAACTTCTTCTGTAGAAATATGCACTGGGTATAAATCATATTTGGTCGGAAGCATTCATGGGAGGTGGGGATTCAAAATTATACAAATAGTGGGGCTGCCCCCTGGGCTAAGGGGTGAGGCCAAAAATAGTTTATTACCTGGAAATGGTTGAGATCCCCACTCCAAAACTTTAAATACAATTGCTGAGAATGAAGAGAAGAATGCACATATGCTTCCAGGATGGCCTCGGGGTCTGGCTCCACTGTTGGAGACTTAACCCCTGGGTCATAACTTTTAAATGGTTGAGTTCCCCACCCCAAAACTATAAATACAAATGCTGGGCATAAAGGGACAAATGCTGTCATAATATTAGAATTAACCCCGGCATCTTCCTAACCCTTGCAAACTTAACCCCTGGGTCATAACTTTGAAACGGTTGAGATCCCCATCCCAAAACTATATACAGTATACAATTGGTGGGCATAAAGGGACAAATGCTGTCATAATATTAGAATTAACCCCGGCATCTTCCTAACCCTTGCAAACTTAACCCCTGGGTCATAACTTTTAAATGGGTGAGATCGCCACCCCACAACTATATATACAAATGCTGGGCATAAAGAGACAAATGCTGCCATGATATTAGAATGGGGTCTGGCCACAACCCTAGGGACCTAGTTTCATAGTCACAGCTTGGAAACAGTTGAGATCCCCACCCCATAACCATACATAAACTTGCTGGGCATGAACAATCTAACACAGATATGTTACAAGGTTTGGCCTTAGGGTCTGGCCCTTATAAGAAGAATATTTTGCCATGATTGCTTAGTTATCCAGGTGAGCGATACAGGCCCTCTGGGCCTCTTGTTTAGTATTTATTTTGGGAGCAGGGGTAGTAGCTATATATATAGAGGTAGCCTGTGACTTACAGCTCAAGTTTGATCACCAAACTGGTAAAAGTTGTGGGTGTAGATGTATTGACTGTTTACACTGTGGCAAGGTTAAACCTGCGAACCCTTCATTAGAGTATGTCAGTAGTAAGGCTGTCACAATATATATCGGAAAACAGGTATATTGCAATACACGGATATATCATATCTTACCACAATACAGAGATATTGCAATATTTTTCAAAAGCATGTTTTTATGTACCTGCTTGGTGTTTTAACTTTGCAAATTACTACAAATCTTCAAACAGATATGCCAATAAGCTTAAAGCAGGCTTTTAACAGTTCAAATTTTGTAATCGATGGTTGGTTTGACAAAAATCTTAAATCTATGTAATCCATATTATATATGATTAAGTTTGATATCATTCTGACAACAACATATTATAAAATTGAGCACATCCTTCCTATGACAATGTATCGGGATACGTATCACAATATATATTCATTCTGTATTGCAATATATCGTGGTACACTCTTGGCGTATTGTGACACCCCTAGTCAGTAGTATAAATATCTGCCTTGGACCTACCAGTGTCTCTAGAGCTAACTGCCACAGTGTATAATGATAAGTTATTCTGCTATGTATAACCCATAAATACTGTAATATACAACACTGTTTTCATTCTTACTGTTTAGTGATCAATTACAGCGTTACATTGTGATATATATATCTACACATAGTATGTTAATGTTTATAACGTATCCTATTTAGTTATAAGCATGTATGTTTATATAAACTTCCACACCAAGGATAGGCTCGGTACACAGCACAAGGATCGTAATACTGTAATGGTTGACATATTTTCACAGGTATTTCATTACAGTTCCAAAATGTAACAGACGGACCCTCTTCTGTCTACAGTGCTATGTGAACTGCTAAATGTTGACCGAGCTCTGTAATACTTCCATACCATTCTGTAAACTGTCGTATATACTAAATACAAAGTTCACATTAACATTTGTATGTTATAAATAAAAGGTAAATACTAGAGTTGATGGCAGCTGATAGGTTCATTGTAGCTTACCTACGAGTGGTTTACTTGGCTGGAATGTGTACTTACTTTTAATAGTCTGGCTCACACACGCACACACTGCCTGCTGTCCCCCACTACTGGCACTGTTCACTGTCCTGTACCCAATACTACCACAGTATCACGTAGTGGCAGTACCCATTAATCTGGAGGACCACCATGTCCTGTTGGAAAGCTCATGTGTTGTAGTTATACTGATTAGAAACATGTGTGTACTTGAAAATTTCAGAAAATGAAACTTGGATTTTCTGAGAATTCAGGAGAAAATCAATTATAATTATAAATTATGGATTTTACCAGCATGGCTCTGGTCCATATTTTTTCCAATTAATATTTTCTTTTGTCTTTTCTCTCTGGGATATTTTCTGACTTATGATTGATTGATTGAGTGGTTTAACATCCGCTTAAGTTCGGTTATCCAGCAGACGTTTTTTTCTGAGTAGGACAGCTGGGAATTTTGTAAGTGTAGGCAGTGTTATTTTTAGATCTCTGTGTTTTGATTGTATATCAGTCAGTCTCCTGAAAAGGACGGAGTTGAAAATAATGTTATTAGAATTATTAAATATTCCTAATTGATGTCATCAAAAGGAATATTTAACACAGCACCCTTTCTTACCGTTCTTGTTCCTGTGAAGGTTGAGACTGAATTACAACATGCTATCAGCCTTTGTACAGTGCCATTATGGTGGTTTATAAATAATTGCTCTTTAGGTGCAGAGGAAAGTGGCATGAAACATCCCTAGGCCAAGGTCAATGAATATTGTTTAAATGAACGGTATACCTTTCGTGGAGGGGGGGTGATGAGACAAATTTTTGAAAGGCTGTTGTAAGAAGTTGTTAGTTTAATAGGTTATGTGATCTAATGCTTTTGGTGATCTATTACTACTATATAACAGGTCATAATATATGGTTAATTATCATGGCAGTCCCAGTAAACAGTAGGACAACATTCCCTAACGATAGAGTCGAGTCTGTTACCTGGACATTTGTACCTTGTCATGCCAAACATGTTTTGTGAGAATGAGTCTGTTCAGAAGCTTAAACAGGGTTCTCTGAACAATGAAGATATTTTAGGATTGTGGAAATTTGTAGAGATTTTTGAAAAGCATAAGCATCAACCATTTTTCATATTGGGAAATGCCACCTTCTTTAAGGTTTGAAAAAAAACAGGCATATGACCTTAATCTATAGTTACGTAAGCTCTGTCATGTCATTGCATAACGTTCCATCATTATATCATAACTGACATTGTGCCATTACTGTTAAATGTTGTTATGACTTGATATTATTATTCCATCTGTTTGGAGTTGTCTACACAACAAGCATTATCTGGTAGATACTAGTGTATGTCGATCCCTTCTTTTTTCCATTAAAAGGATCTTTTTGTATACCAAACATACTGTGGTACTGTATCTTAAATGTATAACAGACACTTCCTTTTCGAGTTGTGTATTATTTTGGGGATTCCCCTCTTTTGCATACACACGTGTGTTTTTCTGTGGGGGAATCCCCACCCACACACTACTGTGCAGGTAAAAACACAAATTCCCAAACATTTGAAGTGTAGGCTGTATTATATAACTAGTAAAATACCCTAAGTCGTTAATAATAACCTGCAGTAGACAAGGTAAAGTTTTATTGGCCACTTGTCAAATATAATCAGATAATTGTAGTACATATGTATAGAGACTAGTATTTCAGTACGACTCCTACATACCTGATAGGCTTGTTCCAGTGTATTGTTTACCTTTGATCATATTTCATTGGCGTTCTTGTATGTATTACATGTCTACCACCTGTGTGACATTGTATGACGTTCATATGTCCTCAGTAAATCTTCAAAAAACCCAAGCAGGCGACATCTAATAGAAATGCAAGTAATAGCACCACCAATGAAAATCACTGCACCTTATGTTACTACACAACGTCACATTCTGATAACTTTGTTCTTTTATGCATCCGTGCATGTGAACATTTAACCCTTTCACCACTGTAGATCATAATGGACTCATCCAGATAAATGCATGGTAGAGTCTACTAAAGTTACATAGGGGTGAAAGGGTTAAAACAGTTTCCACATCAAATCTTCTAAATGATTTAACCTTTTCCTATGAAACTGTGCTGTGTTCTCTCATGCATCTGTACGTGTGTACATTAACATATTTTCTACATCATATCTTCCTGATGATTTAACCTTTTCCTATGAAGCTGTGCGGTGTAACATTACCTGATGATCTGGCTATAACACTCTCTGGTCCAGACAATATATTGTAAATTTCTGAACATTTCCTGATGATCTGGCTATAATACTCTCTGGTCCAGACAATATATTGTAAATTTCTGAACATTTCCTGATGAAATTTCACATTACAGTGGGAGTGTATCATAACACTTTTAGTTTGTTCCCTAATGTCAGGGTCATGGCAATGGGTCAAAGGTCAACAGATAGTAATTAGTTTACAGATAATAACCTATGAGATGACTTCCACATTCTCATATGGAACTTCATAAATGTCAATCATTATCAAACAAAGTGTGACCTATGACAAGGAATACAGAATTAGAAGAAACATGAGTTCTGATAATAATTACATGGTGGAAAGTGTTGAAAACTTTACCGGATGTGTTTACTTCCTGAAACATTTACTCTGGATCTTGTATATCATTGAAAGTCAACATTTCAGGATGAAATCTGAACGATCTATTGACTGTTTGATAACTGTTGTGATCAGACATAAAGGCGATAAGCAGACCTGATAAAGATGACCAAAATCAGTATAAACAGGTATATAATGGAGATGACCTGAATCAGTATAAACAGGTATATAATGGGGATGACTTAAGTCAGTATAAACAGGTATATAATGAAGATGACCTGAATCAGTATAAACAGGTATATAATGGAGATGACTTAAGTCAGTATAAACAGGTATATAATGGGGATGACTTAAGTCAGTATAAACAGGTATATAATGGAGATGACTTAAGTCAGTATAAACAGGTATATAATGGGGATGACTTAAGTCAGTATAAACAGGTATATAATGGAGATGACTTAAGTCAGTATAAACAGGTATATAATGGGGATGACTTAAGTCAGTATAAACAGGTATATAATGGAGATGACTTAAGTCAGTATAAACAGGTATATAATGGGGATGACTTAAGTCAGTATAAACAGGTATATAATGGAGATGACTTAAGTCAGTATAAACAGGTATATAATGGGGATGACTTAAGTCAGTATAAACAGGTATATAATGGAGATGACTTAAGTCAGTATAAACAGGTATATAATGGGGATGACTTAAGTCAGTATAAACAGGTATATAATGGAGATGACTTAAGTCAGTATAAACAGGTATATAATGGGGATGACTTAAGTCAGTATAAACAGGTATATAATGGAGATGACTTAAGTCAGTATAAACAGGTATATAATGGGGATGACTTAAGTCAGTATAAACAGGTATATAATGGAGATGACTTAAGTCAGTATAAACAGGTATATAATGGGGATGACTTAAGTCAGTATAAACAGGTATATAATGGAGATGACTTAAGTCAGTATAAACAGGTATATAATGGGGATGACTTAAGTCAGTATAAACAGGTATATAATGGAGATGACTTAAGTCAGTATAAACAGGTATATAATGGGGATGACTTAAGTCAGTATAAACAGGTATATAATGGAGATGACTTAAGTCAGTATAAACAGGTATATAATGGGGATGACTTAAGTCAGTATAAACAGGTATATAATGGAGATGACTTAAGTCAGTATAAACAGGTATATAATGGGGATGACTTAAGTCAGTATAAACAGGTATATAATGGAGATGACTTAAGTCAGTATAAACAGGTATATAATGGGGATGACTTAAGTCAGTATAAACAGGTATATAATGGAGATGACTTAAGTCAGTATAAACAGGTATATAATGGGGATGACTTAAGTCAGTATAAACAGGTATATAATGGAGATGACTTAAGTCAGTATAAACAGGTATATAATGGGGATGACTTAAGTCAGTATAAACAGGTATATAATGGGGATGACTTAAGTCAGTATAAACAGGTATATAATGGGGATGACTTAAGTCAGTATAAACAGGTATATAATGGGGATGACCTGAATCAGTATAAACAGGTATATAATGGGGATGACTTAAGTCAGTATACTATGTATATTATGGTTCGACTCATTATGGACAATCCTTTTACTAATGATCTCACATGGTAAGATCAGCTGATAATACTCATACACTCATAGTTACATGTTATCTCTAAAATGTTCATCAAAAGACCGTGTCAGAGGTTATCTTAGCAAATCTAATCTCTTCATCCAGTTTAAATATTTATCATATTGCTTGATTTTGTACATTACTCTAACTTTTTGTGACGGTTTGCCAGTGAGAGGCAATACAGGTTTGTTTTGGAATTTGACAGTGACTTAAGGGACACAAACATTTGTTTTGGAATTTGACAGTGACTTAAGGGACACAAACATTTGTTTTGGAATTTGACAGTGACTTTAGGGACACAAACGTTTGTTTTGGAATTTGACAGTGACTTAGCTATAGGGACACAAACGTTTGTTTTGGAATTTGACAGTGACTTTAGGGACACAAACGTTTGTTTTGGAATTTGACAGTGACTTAGCTATGGGGACACAAACGTTTGTTTTGGAATTTGACAGTGACTTAAGGGACACAAACGTTTTTTTTGGAATTTGACAGAGACTTAAGGGACACAAACGTTTGTTTTGGAATTTAACAGTGACTTAAGGGACACAAACATTTGTTTTGTGATTGTTGATTAAGAGAGAGATGATTTGGTATATCGCATATTCTAATGTTTAATCTCAAAATGATGAATATTTTTCAAGAAAGATAACTCTTACATACAATTACTATGTGTATATGGTTTTTGTGTCGCCTGCGAAAAGCTGGTGACACATAGGTACTACTTTGTCGGCGTCGTCCGAACAGAGGTTTTCGTGCGATAACTTGAGTTTCCGTCGGCCGATCAAACTCAAACTTCATGCAGTGCTTCCTTACCAAAAGTGCTTGCTTGGGATTGCTTTTCAGGTTAGAAGGTCAAAGTTCAAGGTCACTGTTACTATAAATAGAAAATCTGTTTTCGTGCAATAACTTGAGTTTCCTTGGGCCGATCAAACTCAAACCTCATGCAGTGATTCCTTACGAAAAGTGCTTGCTTGGGATTGCTTTTCAGGTCCGAAGGTCAAAGGTCAAGGTCACTCTTAATATAAATAGAAAATCTGTTTTCGTGCGATAACTTGAGTTTCCTTGGGCCGATCAAACTCAAACCTCATGCAGTGATTCCTTACCAAAAGTGCTTGCTTGGGATTGCTTTTCAGGTCCGAAGGTCAAAGGTCAAGGTCACTCTTAATATAAATAGAAACTTCAGTAAAACTGTATACTGGACGGCTTCGATCTACCACTTGACCCACCGTGTATACCTCTGAAATGCCATCTTACTCCAAATGTTATTGACAAAACTAGCTGTTTAACATCATAATTCACAAGTTTATTCATTTATTTATGGGAAACCATCCGACAAATCATACAAATTAAACTTGGAATTCAGACAATGAGTATCCATAGCAAGTTCCTTACAACTCAGAGTATTCTTCCCAGAATAACAGATTATATAACAAAATGATGCCATCCAAAAACATAATCTATGATTATTGCTTACTTTTAACATTATTTCTTGAAATGAAAAGTGTATCTATTTCCTCGTAATCCCCCAGCTTCCTGCGCAGGCGACACATTATACTTCCGTGGAATTCTTGTATAATAAAATGTCAATTTTAATCGCTTATGGATCACTTATTTTACACAATTTCAGCATTTATGAAATTGATCGAATGACTGGATGTACTATGTTTTCACGCGGGCAGGCACACATTAGTTTCTGCTCAATAACTTGAGTAATTTTGAATGGATTAATTTCAAACTTGGTAGGAAGATTCATTGCCATGAAAGCTCAGACAAGTTCGATAACAAAAATTGTTTGCCAGTTATTTATGCAGTTATGGCCCTTTGTAGAATTGACGCTTATCTCTCCAAAATTTATGCACTTATGGCTCTTTGTGGCTTCGGTTATTGACATTATTTTGAAAAAATTGTCTTTCATTTTTTTTCTTCAAAATTCACTCCTTTTTACACCATTTAAAAACCTTAAAATTCTGACAACCTATTTTTTTTTTTTTGTGGCAGAACATTTACTTTACTTCTAAACAATATAACTACAAAATTTGAAGAAATAATAGGCCATATCTTCCACTGTTTTTAACGGAAGTTATTCATATTTGAAAGAAATATTTGTTAGGGGGAGGGGGTTTGCAGGTAAAATTTGTATGAGCTAGAATCAAATACTACTCATAGTTGTAAAAGCATTTGGGTGGTAAAAAAAAAGTGATTTTTATGTCTCCTAGCCACCCCCGTTTGTTCCTGGGGATGGGGGTGAAGTTTAGTATAGTTTATATAGGAAAAACATAACAGGCCGTATCTACCATTGTTTTGAACGGAAGTTGTTCATATTTGACAGAAATACTTGTTAGGGAAGGAAGGTCGGGTGGTATAATTTTTGTGACCCTGACTCCCCAGGGGGCTGAGGGGCGGGGCCTAAAGAGGGCAATTTGGCTATATTGTTACAAACAACTTCTTCTGTAGAACTCTGCACTGAATATCAATCATATTAAGTATTCATGGGAGGCAGGGATTCAAAATTGTACAAATGGTGTGGCTGACCCCCAAGGGGGCTGAGGGGCAGGCCAAAAAAGGTTATTTGGCTAGACTGCTTTAAGCGACTTCTTCTCTGGAACTAAGAGATGGATATCAACCATATTTGACTGGAAGCATCCCTAGGTGGTGGAGATTTAAAATTGTACAAATGGTGGGGCTGGCCCCCAAGGGGGCTGAGGGGCGGGGCCAAAAGGGGGCAATTTGGCTATATTGCTATAAACGACTTCTTCTGTAGAACTATGCCATGGATATCAATCATATTTGGTCGGAAGCATTCATTGGAAGCAGGGATTCAAAATTGTACAAATGGTGGGGCTAACCCCCCGGCTAAGGGGTGGGGCCCAAAACAGTTTATGACTTGGAAATGGTTAAGATCCCCACCGTATAACCATATATTCAATTGCTGAGGATAAAGAGAAGAATGCACATTTGCTTCCAGGATGTCCCTAGGGTCTGGCCCCACCGTTGGAGACATAGTCCCTGGGTCATAACTTTGAAATGGTTGAGATCCTCACCCCAAAACTATATATACAAATGCTGAGCATAAAGAGACAAATGTAGTCATGATATTAGAATAGACCCTGGGGTCTGACCAAGCCCCTAGGGACCTAGTATCTTAGTCACAGCTTGGAAACAGTTGAGATCCCCACCCTATAACCATATATACAATTGCTGAGTATAAAGAGATGAATGCACATTTGCTTCCAGGATGTCCCTAGGGTCTGGCCCCACCGTTGGAGACATAGTCCCTGGGTCATAACTTTGAAATGGTTGAGATCCCCACCCCAAAACTATATATACAAATGCTGAGCATAAAGAGACAAATGTAGTCATGATATTAGAATAGACCCTGGGGTCTGACCAAGCCCCTAGGGACCTAGTATCTTAGTCACAGCTTGGAAACAGTTGAGATCCCCACCCTATAACCATATATACAATTGCTGAGTATAAAGAGATGAATGCACATATGCTTCCAGGATGGTCTTGGGGTCTGCCCCACCCTTGGAGACTTAACCCCTGGGTCATAGCTTTGAAATGGTTAAGATCCCCACCCAAAAACTATATATACAATTGTTCGGCATAAAGAGACAAATGCAGTCATGATATTAGAATTGATCCTGGGGTCTGGCCACAACCCTAGGGACCTTATTTCTGAGTCACAGCTTGGAAGCAGTTGAGATCCCCATCCCATAACCATACATTAAATTGCTGGGCATGAAAAATCTAATACAGATATGCTACAAGGATTGGCCTTGGGGTCTGGCATATTCCCTTGGATCTCATTTGGAGAATATTTTGCCATGATTGCTTAGATATCCAGGTGAGCAATACAGGCCCTCTGGGCCTCTCGTTTAATTATGCAATACTTCAAAAACACATCATTTAGTTACAAATATCTGTATCAATGATAAGTGTTCGTCAGAGAGGCCTCAAAAGAAAAGACATATAGATTATGTGACTTGGCTGCGTGTACAATATAATACACAGCACTAACCTACACTATACAGACGACTGCATCAGTTAAATATCTGCCATGTTGAATGATGAATTGATAAGTCCGCGATCATCAATTTTTTAACATCTGCCTTGTACAAAGAAACGCAACAACTGATTCAACTTACCTGTATGCTGAGTAGTAATGCTATTTTTAGTAACGGGGAATTTGCACTGTTTGTGGTGCAGAGTGAATTAACACTAGGCTAATTAAGACTGTCGGTGGAGGGTGAATTTAACACTAGGCTAATAAAGACTGTCGGTGGAGGGTGAAAGTTTCCTGGTATAGTTATAGAAGTAATACTGTCAGGAAAGTTCATATGTGAATACATTTTCAGTACTACATCAATATATCAACTGTTGAACACTGCAACTTTCTGCTTCTCTGACTTTGGTTAGACTGTTAGTTTGGCTATTTCTGCTTCTCTGACTTTGGTTAGAATGTTAGTTTGGCTATTTCTGCTTCTCTGACTTTGGTTAGACTGTTAGTTTGGCTATTTCTGCTTCTCTGACTTTGGTTAGACTTTTAGTTTGGCTATTTCTGCTTCTCTGACTTTGGTTAGGCTGTTAGTTTGGCTATTTCTGCTTCTCTGACTTTGGTTAGACTTTTAGTTTGGCTATTTCTTCGTTAGTTTTATCCATTAATATCCATTAAAGCAGAAGAAGGGACATTAAATGCATGTTTTACAAATATTTTTTGACTTCTTACAGGAAAGTACAGATGTATATGGAGACTGCCTCACCAGTGTGTCTGACCCACTGTCACTTCTCTTTAGAAAGGCTCACAGTCTACAGGTAGTAAGTATCAGACTGTTTACTGGAACTTAAGTGATACATGATTTATAGACTGTTCACTTTTGTAACAAGTATAGCTGTACCTAGGTAAACAATTTACTTTTTTTTCTTTTTCTGTTCTGTTCTTTTTTTGCTGAAGTTTTACAACTTATGGCAATTACAGATAGGACAAGACTCACAAGGTCACACTCGCACTAACTTGCACACATCATTATCATTAAGGACACTCACACTGACTCGCACACATCATTATCATCAAGGACACTCACTAACTCGCACACATCATCATCAAGGACACTCACACTAACTCGCACAAATCATCATCAAGGACACTCACCCTAACTCGCACATATCATTATCATCAAGGACGCTCACACTAACTCGCACACATCATCATCAAGGACACTCACACTAACTCACACACATCATTATCATCAAGGACACTCACACTAACCCACACACATCATTATCATCAAGGACACTCACACTAACATGCACACGTCATCATCAAGGACACTCACACTAACTCGCACACATCATCATCATCAAGGACACTCACACTAACTTGCACACATCATTATCATCAAGGACACTCACACTAACTCGCACACATCATTATCATCAAGGACACTCACACTAACTCGCACACATCATTATCATTAAGGACACTCACACTAACCTGCACACATCATCATCAAGGACACTCATACTAACTTGCACACATCATTATCATCAAGGACACTCACACTAACTCGCACACATCATTATAATCAAGGACACTCACACTAACGCGCACACATCATTATCATTAAGCACACTCACACTAACCTGCACAGATCATCATCAAGGACACTCATACTAACTTGTACACATCATTATCATCAAGGACCCTCACACTAACTCGCACACATCATCATCAAGGACACTCACACTAACTTGCATACATCATTATCATCAAGGACACTCACACTTACTTGCACGTATCATCATCATCAAGGACACTCACACTTACTTGCACGCATCATCATCCTCAAGGTCACAGGGGTCAAATGTGTCAGACACTTCAAACGACTTCTTCTGAACAATTGAAAGGTATAGAATCTTTATATTTGGCTTGTAGCTTCCTAGGAAAGAGCCCAACAAAGTTTGAGAATGAAAATGACATTGACCTACTTTCAAGGTTACAGCGGTCAAATATGTCAAACTCTTCAAATGACTTCTTCTGAAGAACTTAAAGGTATAGTATCTGCATATTTGGCTGGTGGCTTTCTGGGATAGAGCTTAAAAAAAGTTTGAGAATGAAAATCACCTTGACCTACCTTAAAGGTCACAAAGGTCAACAACATTTCAAACGATTTGTTCTGAAGAACCAAAGGCATGGATTCATAAGATTTGGCTGGTAAGCTTCTTAGGATAGAGCCAAAAAAGTTTGAGAAGGAAAATATCCTTAACATATACTGAACAAAAAAAGAAACGCACAATTAAATTATGCAATCAATAGCCTATGATATTTTGGGAAATTTGTACAAAATGTTATATCAATATGAAGGGACAAGTCTACTCTTTACAATACTGTAGAATAAAAGTCTGTGTGACGTCACTTGTGTCATCAGTAGTTACCCAAAGTGGGATACCGGAGAAAAACAAAATGACACTTCAGTACCTGGTGTGGGCACCTTTTGCACGAATCCCTGCACATATTCTCCTATGCATTGAATTTATGAGAACATTTATTCGCCTTATGGGAATGTTGTTCCATTCTTGTGTTAATGCTGCGATCAACTGGGGGCGGTTAGTTGGGGAGGTTTGACGTTTCCTTATACGCCTGTCCAGCTCATCCCACAGATACTCGATGGGAGACATGTCGGGCTATATGGGGGCCATTCCAGAGGCGGTAAGAAAATCATGACAGACTCTGGCAACATGCAGTCGAGCATTGTCTTGCTGGAAAATTAGGTTATGACGTCTGAGAAGTGGAAGGACATGTGGTTGGAGGATCTGGTCTCTGTATCTAACGGCATTGAGGTTTTGATCCAGGACCACTTAGGGGGATTTTACTCCATGGGAGATGCCTCCCCAAACAATTACAGAAGCCCCACCGAATCTATCGCGTTCAACCATGCATGCGTGGGCGAAAAACGCTTACCGCGTCTGCGATATACCCTTTTTCTTCTGTCTGAGCGATACAGACAGAATCTAGTCTCGTCGGTGAACATCACACACCTCAATCGACACATCCCAAACCTATTCGGGCCATGTCTGCGCATCCAGTCAAGACGCACTTGCCGCCTCCATGGTGTCAGAGGTGGCCCGACATAAGGTCTTGAGGACTAATGGGTCTGCCATGAGTACCTTAGGTATGCGACGCAGTCTCTTCAGCAGTCTTGAATCTGTTGCGCAATTTTGACAATCGAATCGCCGTCTTGTCGTGCGGTCGTTACACGCGGACGACCGCTCCTGGGACGATCGGAAACTAACCCAGTAGCACGAAACGTGTACAGAGACGGTTAATTGTACACAGGCCAACACCAGCCTGCCGTGCGAAAGCAGTTTGGCTATGACCATCCATCAACATCGCAATGGCTCTACCCCTCTGAATTTGCTTTAAGCGTGGCATCTCAGTCAATGGCAAAATCAAAATGCCAAAGTGGAAAATTAATGTGGCTGAACTCAGAGTATCTGTTGAGATTATTTGTTTGAAAAACTCCTGCTTGGCTTGATCATGCCGCGTGATTTGGACTAAAGAAGCTCACAAAGTCACACAATGACATCGTCACGCTTGGCTGATTTTAGGGTAGATTGTTGAGAAGGGAGATCGTTCTTGATGTAATACCTGACCAAATATTCCATTATTTCCTTACAGCTAAGGTGTACTGCCGGGGGGAAACTTTGTACGTTTCTTTTTTTGTTCAGTATACTTAAAAGGTCACAGGCAAATATATGTCAAACACTTCAAACAACTTCTGAAGAACCAAAATTATAGAATCATATAATAATATTTGGCTGGTAGTTTCTTTCAACATAGAGCTGACGAAGTTTGCGAGTGAAATATTTGTAGTACAGTATAATATTTAATGAGAATATTTTGCTATGACTGCTTAAATATTCAGGTGAGCAATACAGGTCCTCTGGGCCTCTTGTTAGGTTAAAAAGTAAAAATGTTAAAGTTTTGGTTACAATAACCTGCTATCCAGACACTTGAGTAGGGTTTTCATCATTTTGAAACCTCAAAGGTCCGTATGTATTGGAAGGATTCCTTCTGCTTTTACGATCAAAAGGTCAAAAGTCAAGGTAACTACAACCATAATGCTATATCGTTTCCACACTCTAAATGATAACGACCCGTTTGTTGGTGAGTAAACCCTGAACAGTTGTACATCCACCTCCTTGTTACAGGTATTCCTTAACCTCCTCGACAAGATCAACGTTGACGCCAACTCCACAGAACAAGATGCCAACGATCTCTGTTATGGTAAACATAGCAAAATTTGAATATGAACATCAAGTCATCAACACATGTAACCTTGAGATTTTCAACTATTTCTGAAGTGTAACCACAATGTATTGTCTCATGTTGGCCAGTAACTTAGATTCTCCTTAACTGAGATGTCCAGATTTCCTGCAAAATACACTTTCTGCAGTATTTGGTGATGCCTGTTACGCAATACCTTAATTTTATACATAACTCAAAGAATCAAGGAAACAGTTAAGATGTTTATTAAAGATAGTCCGAAGACTGTAAACCACAAACAAATATAAACCTTATTTCTTTGGCGTACGTGGGGCTACTCACTCATTAACCAAAATAACACTAAGGCTTGACTCTGAGAAAAAACAGAGAAGCACTGTGCAGTAATATAACATGCTAAATCAGCTTGACTCTGACTCTATGAGAAGTAAGCTTGACTCGGTAGACCCTGGAGAAGCGACGTGACTCGAAGAATCAGAGAAGCTATGATAATGGTAATTGTCAGCTTGACATGGAATCTGTGAGAAACCACTTGACTCAGAAGATTGAACTCTTGCTTAAAGAAGTGATTTGACTCCAGACCAACAAGCAGGCGATATAGAACAAGGTCAGACTAAAGCTTGACTCCAACTTGTAGAGAAGTGCTTGACTCTGAAAGACTCATGAGAAGCCCTTGACTCGTACAAGGAGAAGTCTAGCCTAACTTAAAAATTTTAACTGCACATTCTGATACAACATAGTAAAACTTAATTGATAAATTGTAATAAAACTGTATGAATGTAAGAATGCGATTGGGGGTGAAAATTCCCCAGAATTTAAAAGCCAAAAAGGAAGGAATAGTTTAACTATGAGTGAGTGCCCCCAATCAAACACTCCTCTCTTAAATTCAAGTTCTATTTCAAATCAGCTCATCAGCAAAGGTCCCATGCCTTGTCTAGCATTTTCCAATTGATTAGTTGAGAGTTTGGTGATACTTTTTACTGTTTTCTTACCATTAAAATCACTATAGTGATGAGCTTGGCTTTATGCAATTTCTTTCCCACAATACATGTTAACAGGTGGGTATAAATGGGGTCATTTTAGGTTCCCTCTCACCTAATGTCACAGCACATCTTATCAACATCCCGAAAGACTTTGAACTTTGTCAGAGATGAACTTGATCTCCACAAGATATGTCTCATTAAAATGGCTGCCATTATGTACATGAGCCAGACAATTCCACTTGTTGGAAGCTTGGGTAGGGAGTCAGTTGTCTGTCTGACAGCTTGGTTAGACTTTTTGTTCGACTCCATTTCTACAATACTTAAAGTCCTACAGTCATTAGTTTTCATATGGATACATGTACCAATATATGTTTGTAGACTTTGTGTGAAAGCTCCATTTCTATTTAAATGGGAGCAGGGGTGCATATGTTTACGTTTTATGTTACATGGAGATATGTTTTAGTTGTGTCTCCCCATGGAATCAAATGGAAACACATTGTAGTATTAGACGTTCTAGGTCCTTCATTTTCTTTTTCTCCTGGCTTTTTTCTCGATACCGTCTTCTCTTTGCTGTAACTTTTAAACATTTAAGAGATATGTTGACAGAAGTGTACCTGTACCACCAGTAGAAGGTATTGAGTGTATTGTAATTAGGTCACTGACCTTCACTGCTCTGTCAAAGGTCAAATAAGTGTAAAATCTTGTTTGGACTATAACTTTATTAGAAGTAGATGAAACTTTACCTACATTCCCCTCTTTAGGTTACGTGACCTTTAACTCTTTGCTTAAAGTTAGATAATATGACAGCAAATATTCATTTTGGCTGATAACAGGAGATATGTTATTTTGTTCACACAAAAAAAGTCTCTAGTTATTATTTGATATTATCATTTCATTCCTGTATGTTAAATGATATGAAGTGTATAAATAGTTTTAGAAAGATAGAAACTGGATATATGTTTGATACCTGTTTTAAACAATGGTATCCCTCTGGTCTGACAGGTATCTTCCTAATTATACAGATATTTGCCTGGTCTGATGGGTATTATCCCAGATCTAACCCTACCTTTGGGGTCATGGAAAATAGTGAGATCCCAATCCTTTCACCATATACCCATACATTAGGTTCTCATCGTGATTAGCTATGAAGCAACCTTGGGACTAATGAGACCGAGACCAAAACAAAGAAATATTTTCAATAATACTTTTGATGAGAACATTTTGCCTTAAATATCTAGGTGAGTGATATCCTGAGGGCCTCTTCATATACTGGTACCACTCTGGTCTGGGGCATGTCAGATCCTCATATGAATTACCGTACACCACTACAATACAACAGATATTCTGTTGTTTAAATTTTAAGGTCACCTGAGACAAAGTCTCAAGTGACCTATTGAGATCGCCTTTTGTCCTTCGTCGGTCGTGCACCCGTAAACAATTTACATTTTCGACTTCTTCTCCAAAACCCCTGAACCAATTTCAATGAAATTTTGCAGAAACCTTCTATGGCCAAAGGTCAACCAAAAATGTGAATTATATGGTCCCCAGCCCTGAGGGGCGGGGCCAAAAAGGGTCAAATTGACTAAAATTTCAAAAATCTTCTTCTCAAGATCCAGATATGGTAGAATCAAATACTCTTCATAGACGGAAGGGTCTTAAGGTGCCTTACCAAAAATGTGAATTTCATGACCCTGGGGTCTCACATTTCCCCCTGGGGAGGGGGTAATCTTTACTATAGTTTATATAGGGAAATTACATTTTGGACCAACATTTGTTAAATTTCCATTGGAAGTAATTCAATTTGGGTTAGCATTATCAGTATTGGGTAGCAGTTTGATGGTATGCACATATCAGCCCTGACTGACCCCCAGGGGCTGATGGGTGAGGCCAAAAAGTCGAATTGGCTGAAATTTCAAAACCTACTTCTCAAGACCCAAATATGGCAGAATCAAATACTCTTCATAGATGGAAGGGTTTTAAGGTGCTTTACCAAAATTGTGAATTTTATGACCCTAGGGTCTCACGTTTACCCCCCTGAGTTGACAGTTTGATACTTTGAAAATTTTGAGCCAGCCCTACCCTCAAGGGCTGTAGGGTGGGCCCAAAGGAGTCAGTGTGCTAAAATTTCTTCATTTTCCTTGTTTAGAATCAGAGGTGCTAGTTTCAAATACTTTCAGTCTTAAATCTTTATGCTAGATATTGAATAAGGTGGTTTTATGTTTTTTTGTCACTTTGACTAATAATTCTGTTCATGTTTTTAAAAAACAAAAATCAAATCTCTGTATAAATATATCAGGACTCAGGTGACTGTTAAGGCCCATGGGCCTCTTGTTATAGTAAGCATAACATTTGGTAACTACACTCCAATATAAAGTATGGTTCATATAAAGGGAAATAACCCATTAAATATCTAGCCAATGCAGATACAAATGACCCTACTACTTTTCAGTGTGCCATGGCTTGTTTGAGGTGTGCCAGATTGTCACAGCATTGGACATGAAATTGGTGGTCAATCTGTGGAAAGCTATATCTAGGTAATGTCTGCTGAAATCTTTAACAAACTGCCTTGTACCAATTTTGACAGCTACAACCTGTCTAGTAACAATTTTGACTGCTACAAACTGCCTTATAACAATTTAACTGCTACAACCTGTCTAGTAACAATTTTGACTGCTACAACCTGTCTAGTAACAATTTTGACTGCTACAAACTTCCTTGTAA